CACTAAATTTGCTAGAAGAGAGAATATGTAGAACCCTTGAAGATATAGGTGTAGGCAAAGACTTTATGAACAGAAACCCAATCACATGGGAAATACTACAAAGAATCAACAACTGTGACTCACTTCATTAAAAAAGCTTTTGCATAGAAAAAGAAATCATCAATAGAATGAAGAGACAACTTACAGTGTGGGAAAAACTTTTTGCCATCCACTCCTCTGACAAAAGAATACTATCCAGAACATATAAAGAATTGAAAAAAATCCACCCCCCCAAATTTAAAAACCCAGTCCAAAAATGGACATCTTAAAAGTATAGACACTTCTTAGATGAAGAAGTAGAAATGGCCAATAAATATATGAAAAAATGATCAACATCACTGGTCATTCAAGACATGCAAATCAAAACAATGCCAGGAGTGCATCTCACTACAGAAAGAATGGCTATTATCAAAACATCAGCCAATAACAAATGCTGGTGGAATCATGGGGAAAAGGGAACTCTTCTCCACTGTTGGTGGGAGTGCATGCAGACTGGTGCTACCACTGTGGGAATCAGTGTGGAAATCCCTCAAAAAACTAGGACTAGAGGTCCCATTTGACCCAGCTATTCCCATTCTTGGTATCTTCCCAAAAGAATTAAAAGCATCATACTATAATGATATATGTGTACCCATTTTGTAACAGCACAGTTTTTAATAGCTAAATCTTGGAAACAATCCAAATGCCCATCAACTGAGGAATGGATTAAAAAGATGTAGGTTTTTTATACAATGGAGTACTACTCATCCATAAAGAAGGATATACTTGAGAATTTATAGCTAAATGGAGATACCTTGAGATCATACTTTTAAGTAAAATAAATCAGACAAACATATGTAAATATTGCCTTTGTCTGGTGTGAGAAATTGAAAGTGTATAAGAACCAAAATGTATAACATTTTAAAATAGGAAGAAGTTGTTCAAAAGAAAAGGGGAATTAGGGAGGGAGAAGGGGGAAAGGAAGGAAGGGATAAGAAAAACATGAGAAAAGCAAGATAAAATGGAAACAAAGCTTTGTAAATAAGGAGAGGAACAGAGGTTGAAAGGAGGAAGGTGAACAGGAAGAAAGAGAAATCAAGATATATCATGCACAGGTACAAATTCCCTATGATGAATGCAATCATTATGTATATCTAAATGGCACCAATAAACTTAAGAAAATCCAAAAAAGAGAAAGAGAGAGATATTCACTGAATGAATTTTACATAAAGAGAAGTTCATGAGTCTTTTGGGGGCCAGGGGTAGGACATTATGGTTGATACCTACATATCCCTCCAAACCCTCATGCACTCATAGGTGGGGCTTTTGCAGAGGACTGCATTATGGGTGTGATACTCAGCACTGATGAGTTTATGGCTGGGTACAATGTTGGGAGTTGAAGTGTGGTGGGAAGAGATGGGTCACTGTGGGTGTGGCTTAAAGTGGACTATCTCCCTCCTTCTCCCACGATCCCTAGCTGCTTCTTGTCTGCCAGGCCATGCGCTGTTTCTCCTCTACCATCATCCTCTGCCATATTATCCTACCTAGAACCAGCCAACACCGCACTGAAACCTCTACAACCTATGAGCCAAATTAAATCTCTCTTCCTTTAATTTATGGGTGTGGAGTGTTTTCTCCTAGACAGCATCTAAAATACAACCTAATTAGCATATCCATCACCTCACATACTTAGAGCAGTTTTTAATTTCCTCTGCTTAGAAACATTTATAACAGCACAAATCAAAACTACTCTTGTTGGGCTGGGGATATAGCTCCCTGGCACAGTGCCTGCCTGGTAAGTGCAAGGTCCAGAGTTCAATTCCCAGTACCAAAAAAAAAAAACCTACACTTGTACTAGACTGGGGTGTGTACTGTGGGGCTTCTTTCCATATGTTTGATGTCTTGAACAAAGAATTGGACAAGACACAGAAAAGGGAGCAAAGATGCACATTTATTGAAGGCAGGTAAGCAGTATGTTCTCAGGACAGGAGCTGCCCCATGCAAAGGCTTAGAGTAGCCTGCAGAATAAGGGGGATGAGGTCTTGTCTATCCAAAATTCCCACATTGGCTTCCCCTTCATGGATATAAGGCTTTGGGACATTTGTCCAGCCTAAAACTTGCTTGGTTTCACTAGATTTAAACTGTCCTATCAAAAGACTGGCCTGGCACTCTGCCAGTTGGAAATGAAGAATTAAAAAGAACATCCCTTGATAGGTACTGTGAGCAGCACCACACTGAGAGGAAGGCCTAAAAATAACACTTTTCTGGCTGGCTTTCTAGACACTAATTCGAGTTAGGGATTGAAAACAGCACTCTTCCGCTTGGCGCAGAGTGCTCGGGCATAACCTGCCTCCATTTTGGTCCTTTGTTCTGTGCGTGACCTCTCTTTTTAGGAAACATCTCACTCAACTTGTTAGCTGTGGAATTTTATGATCTTTGTCACATTCTGATCAGTTAGCTGTCCAGTCACATGTCTTACCTCACTCTTAGGAAAAAAAAAAAAAAACAACTCTGCTTGATATCTTTTTCCCAGAGAAAGATCAAAACAGCTAAGTGAATAACATTCTAGATGATTTCTCTCTGTACATTACCGCATTTTTGAAAGTAAAAAATTGGTAGCATTACATATGCTGTTTTGTAACCTGCTGTTTTCACTTAATGGAGTGTGGTGTACACCTTTTCCCCCTCAATAAATTCATGTCATTGCCATATATATTAATGATATAATTGATAACTTTTTCCCCCATGTGCCCTCCCCCCATTCCCTTATTTCCTTTCTTTTGTCTAATAATCCTCTCCTTGCTACATTCATGTCACTTCTTTTAGAGTCTACATATTGGGGAAAATACATTATTTTACTTAATATGGTGATCTCTAGTCCATCCATTTTCCTGCCGATGATATAATTTAATTCTCTTTTATAATAAATGACACTTCATTATGTGTGTATATATGATTATCTCTTTATCCAGTATCAGTTGATGGGCACCTAGGTTGGTCCATCTCTTGGCTATTGCAAATGTGCTGCAATAAACACGGGGATGCACGTATCCCTACAGTATGCTGACTGTAAGTCTTCAGGTACAGACAAAGAAATGGTATAGCTGTAGCATGTGGTCGTTTTATTTTTTTAAGCACTCCCACTGATCTCCGTAGTGTTGTGCTAATTTGCATTTCCAGCAGTGGTAAAGAAGGCTTCCTTTTCTCCCCACATCCTTGCTAAAATGTATTGTGTTTTGTATTCTTGATGCCACCCATTTTTACAGGGGTGAGATGGAATCTCAGTGTAGTTGATTTGCATTTCCCTAATGGCTAAAGATATTAAACATTTTTTCATCCACTTATTGACTGTGGCTTTATATGTCTTATCTGAAACATAGGGGGGTTGATTCAGTTATTTTGTAAAGTAACTTCCACCTCTAAAGCTCTGTGATTATAAACTGCACCTCAGAGGTACTAATTCCACAAATTTTATCATCTCATAAAATCAGTGTAAGTCATAGCCATAAGAATTGATGTAAGATTTTTCCATCTCTGTGCCCTCCTTTTATTTTTTTCCTTTTCTATACTGTGCTTATTCTTCAAAGGGCACTTCTCCTTTGTGAGTTACAATTACCAGTGCTATTTTTTACAAGCCAAATAAAATAAATATTTTACTTTGGAAAGGGAAATGTACTTTTCCCCTAGACCCATGCCAACTTTCATTTCATACCTTGCCGTCATTTAATCAGCCATGATCTTTATGAGCAGTTGGAAAAGACATTAGAGAATTAATGACTCATCGGCCCTCCAGAGCTCTCCTAGGTCAAGAGGGCACAGGTTGTGCCCTCTCCTCTACACAAGGGGATGCTGATGGAACTCTAAATGAGTTATATATGCTGTTTTGTAACCTTCTGTTCTTTGCTCAAACATAAGGAAATGAATCATAGGGCTTGACCAAGACTTGCTGCTTCTGTCTCCATATGAAGCAATAATGATAAAACCGATGGCTGCCTGATACACACCCAGGAGCCAAGAGTGAGAGACAGAAAGACTTTAGTTGACACTTGTGAAGTGAAAAAATTTCAGCTTGATATTAGATACACTTCTGGACAGTCATGAAAACCAGCTGCTAGCATGCTCTCTGCTCAGATCTCAGGATCCTCATGTAAGATTTCAGGAAGCATGGGATATTTCAAATTAAAGGTCTTATTTAGCGACTGAATATGGACCTCAGTACAGACTCCCTTGGCTCTACATATAAAATAGATGCTCAGGTATTATTGGATTATAAACAAGGCTACCAAAGTATGATCCTTGCTCAAAGAAATATTTATGCAAAGGTAAAACAAAACATCCTACAGGTAGGAGCATTAATCCTGCTTCCCCAAGCTAAAAATGGAATGGGTGACTGCACAACCAGAAGAAGAAAATAAGCAAAGAGAAAATGACTTACATTTAGTTTGACTAATGGATTCTTAGTTATAAGAAAAAAAGGCAAAGGCAGTGATAAAGTGCAGAAGATTTGCTCTATTATTCAGCAGTGTAAAGAAGTAGGTTTAAATGATAGCAGCAAACACTGGAAGATGTGTGGCCATGGATTTCCTATTTTCTAGACACTCTGGTGTTGCAGAGATTGTCTCTTTGGAAGCATTCAACTAGTGCAGCCAAATAAAGTGATCAATATTTTTGCATGCCTGTGGGAAGATGATATATATAGATATATATACATATATATGTATACAGTTATTGAATATCTTTTAAAGCATAACTGAATTAAACCATTTCAATACAGGGTAAATAATGCTTGTTTTTAAGAAGTTTACTATCCAATGAAAAAACAGCTAATGACAACTTACTATAATAAGTGTTATTAAAGTAATATAAATAAAAAGAGGAATGGGAAAAAAAATATTCTTACCATAGACCTTGTCCCAAAGGTAAGACCAACATTCTGCTTTAAGGAACGATAAAAACTTGACAGACAAATTGAGAGAGGAAGCTTTATAAGGAAGATGGGACGGAAAGGACAGAGGCATTCCTTACAATGGCACACAAAACACCTCCAAATGTGATAATCCTGGCATTTCCTGCTCTTAATTCTTCACACCCGCTGAGCTTCTTGCCATCTTCCTACTCATCATGGTCTCGAATCCTCAGGGTCAGGAGTACTCTTCTTCTTTACTCAGAGAACTCCGACCCTTCTATTAGATCAGAAAATTTAAAAATTAAAAATAAATACTGCACTTGGGCTTCACAAACTGCCCAGTCTCTCTCACTACTACCCATGGCTGTCAACTTGTTAAAACACCCATGCCCAATATCTAACAAAGGATCATGCTGTTTGGCTATGCAGCTTTATTTACAAAGGCAGGAGGAGGGTCAGATCTGGCCTGCGGTGTGTATGTCTCTAAACCCTGTGGTAGGACATCACTCTGTCCTGGAAGAGAATGTTTTAATCTTGTGGAACACATGTATGTATCCTATTCAGATTAACTGCTTCATGCACCATTGGGTGTTTCCTTGAAACTCACATTTAACTGGGTATCTTGTATTTTATTAGATAATCCTGATGTACATCAATCAGAATTTCCTGTCCTCGTAACAGCAGCATTTAAAATCATAAATGCCTAATTTCTGATCAAGTGTGTAAGTGTTTTAGAGACTGAGAGGATAATTTTCATTTCCTTTGGAGGTGTCTAAAGAACTAAGGAAGTTTGTTGCAGTAAGAATGTTTGTGCTGTCAGGCACAGAAGACAATGGTCTCAAGATCTCTCCGTCCCCTGGGTCTGTCCACTGTATTTATCGGAAAGCCGCACATTTGATCAGATCCTCACACTTCTCCTGGAGGAGTGAGAAGCAGGGTGCCTGGCAGTTGGATTTGCTGATGACAATTTATCTCCATAGGACAGACATGCACTTACTGGCCACATTTTGACTGCAGTGGTTCTTGAATCTCCTATACCCAGGTTTTTCCAGAGCAAACTTCTTTTCTCCAATCAGAAGTTTGGTTTCCCAAGAAAGGAATTTCAGACACCAGCTAATTTTGCAGATCTTTTTCTTGTTGTGGCAGACAGGGAGAGGGTTGGGCACTGGGAAAGAGTAGAGAGGAATCTGAGAACCTGTGGGCTATCTGCCAGCCCCGCTCTCCTGGCACCTTCCTCCTGACACTGGATCAAAGGCCAGTCCTCCTTTTCTCCTCTTCCACAGTTTGCAGTGCACCTTATTCGCTATTCACATTAGCGCACATGATTTATATGTGAAGGGAACACTGCGTGTTTTAACCAATAGCTGCTGTAGCACCATTCCCAACCTGGACCTCATCTGCTGAGACCCTGTGGCATTTTCCTTTCCTGTGATGTTGGTCATGACGGTCAGGGGCAGCGCTGCTCCTGACTGGGGAAGTATGGGAAGATGTTAGAGCTGACTCTGCTCTGAATCACTGCTATCTTCAATCACAGGACATAACTAATCTTGAAACCCACAGACCACAGATATGAAACCACCACATTTCCAACTCAGGTTATAAGGCACAAATTATACTGCTTTTTTCTTGATGTCTGTTGTTCCAGCTTTCTCTAATCTCACCTCTCCAGCAGCTTCCCTTCACATTTAGAATATTCATTCTGAAACATAAAGTTAGTGTGCTGCTCCTGCGCTCAGAAACCAACACTGGTATCTAGTGACTACAAGATGAAATGTGGACTTGTCTTTAACATCTTTTACTTGTACTTTAGTCCTACCTAATGTTCCAGTTTTGTCTTTCAGTGCCGTCCACACCCAACTTTGCACCTTGCTGGATTTTCGAGTCTGAATATGTTTTCTATGTCACTCATTTTTTATTGATTCATTCAACAAACATCAACTAAATGTCTGAATTAAGCCAGGCACAGTAAAATTCACTGAGGATAAAAATGCAGTCTGTGATGAGAGCTATGACCAGGGAGGCATAAGGAGGACAGAGAAGGGACAATTAATTCTGAGAGGAAAACGAGTGGATGTTGTTTATCCAAAATGCAAATTTACCTGAGTGTGCTCTAGTTTTATTTGGTAAATCGGTAGCCATGTGTATGACTTTACTGCGGGAGCATTCCAACAAAGATGTCTGACCAATACGATCTGTATTTTTATTCCTTGTGTTCTTTGCTATGTTTTGTATATTACTATTGAATTGCTTTAAAGACATGGAGCTATTCTGCAGATGATTCGCCCCAATACACACGTAAACATTCAACACCTCGCCAGTAGCAAAATTCACATTGCTCTTTTGGCCTGAGAAATACCATAGTCACCAATAAGGGTAAATATGGACTCCTGAAGCTGTTACTACAGATGGTAATTTGACATGTTTATTGCTGCCAACACTCAAACAAAAAATATTCCTGGAGGAATGAATTCTAGTGTCTTTCTTTCTGGGTTTTTGGCTTGTTTTTTCTGGTGCTGGAAATTAACATTCAGTTTTCATACATGCTAAGGAAGTGTTATGCTGCTGGAGCTACACCCCAATCCCCAGAGCTTTTGTTTCCAAGAGACAGTTATTTAAGCAGTATAGATAGTGAGGGAAAGAATCAGAGCATGCTCAGTGGATCCTGAACATTGTTTTGCCAGACAAGTGAACATATGTCCTCCTCAGATAAGTGCTCATCACTTAAATTGCAGTATTAAAATCCATCTCTCAGCCCTTCAGGAAACTAGATGCTATCACATCATGTGTTTACTTTATTGTTCTGGGGAAAATCAGCCCTTCAATTTAAAGCTAGGTGCTGGGGACTTAGCTCAGTGACACAGTGCCTACCTGGCAAGCGCAAGGTCGTGAGTTCAATTCCTGGTACCGGAAAAAAAGGCAAAAAAAAACAATTTAAAGCTAGATGTGGTATTTTTATACAAAGGAATATTACTCAGCCATAAAAAAGATAAACTTGAGGTTTTTGTAGGTAAATGGATGCAACTAGAGACCATACTCATAAGTGAAATAAATCCAACCCACATGTATAAACATCATATTGTCTCCCTGGTGTAAACTCAAAACGTACAATAGATGATAGGAAAGGGAAAGAAATTGCTCAAAGGAAAGAATGACTGGGATGAGGGAAAGAGAAAAAAGAAAGAATGAAGGCAAAATATAAATATATATATATGAATAACTACAGTAACTATATTGCTGATATCTGATGGTATATTGAAAGGAACAGTTAATGCTTACAATTTTTTATGTTCTGACCAATGTTTCATGCTTATATATAGTAATCTGAGCAACTGATTTGAAGGTAACAATATGCAATGGAACTATCATGGTGAATTCCTACCATCTTGTCTAGTGAGACTCTGTATTATCTCTAATGTTTTATCAAAGAATTATTTTCTTATTGTCTTTAATGGTTTCAACAATCTTCCATTCTTGCATCTGGTAATCTGAGCAATGCAGTTGAGGATAACAATACATAACATAACAACCACTGTTAATTCGTATTATTTTGTCTGAAAGCCTGTTTCACTTTAAATATTCCTGCTTTGGTTTGTTTATGTTTGTAATGCTGGTATGTTGCTATTGTTCTTTTTTTTTCTCATTTACTACTGTCTTTAAAATAAAATTTAAAAAAAAATAAAAGTTGAGGGTCCTGGGTGAAGTGGTGCTCTAGAAAGGTGCATCACACAGGGCTGCACTAAACCAGCTTGGTGTGAAGGCGGTGGGCCAGGCTCACCCTCAACCCAGCAGGATTCAGGCAATACCCCTGACTCTTAGGAGATGCCTTTCCATGTGAATCTCAGTCCATGATTTAGCTAGTATCATTCCTGGTGAAGTCAGATCATTTCTCATGAAATAATAAAATCAAATTGGAGAAAGTTTTTCAGATGTTCTTTAACTGAAATGCCAAGACTTTCATGCCCTCTACATTTTTAATGTTTTCTTAATTAATTTTAGACATCTTTCTGAGGTGGCTATGCACTGTACATGAGAAAGGTTTTAAAGATATACTCTGCTAACTCTAAGTATATATATGGGGGAGGTATCAAGGAGTGCTTCTACTTTTTATTTGTATCATTTGAATTTCTTTTGGGGAGTATTTCCTTCCAGAAGATACATTGTTTTGCAATCAGAAAAAGTAACTTTCACAGCTTAAAAATTTCTTCATTTATTGTTCTATGTAAAGCCAGCTCTGAACATTTCTCAGTGAGCACGCATTTCCTGTGTATTACCAATGCCTAGGCCACAATGCCATGCAATGATAAATGCTCAATAGACATTAGTGGAATAAAATAATCAAGAAGATCCTTACCACCAGGATCACTGTATCAAGTCTGGCCCATCACGGCCTTATTGTGAGTGCACAGCTGAATTCTAGCCGAAATGACTGGAAAACGAGAAGAAACACAATGGGAAAGTCGGAGATGCGCATTGAGCTGCTTACTGGGCCTCCTGTTCCCACACGTCTACCTTGCACTAAGTAACACTAGAAGGATGTACCTATGAATGCCTCTTGTCTGTGTTTTTCAAATCAGTGTTTGACCCACACCTGTGTCTTCCTCCTGTTTGGGCCCCTGTCTAGCCCTGGCAGTACTGCCTGCCGCCCTTATCATCTCCTCCCGTTGTTTGATGCCCTAGCAACACCGATTGTAAAAGCATTTATACCTTTGGGTCACCGGCGCCACCTGTAAAACACAGCCCAATCCGGAAGTGGAACAAAGTGCAGTTTTACACTGTCCCTGCGCCCTGCCTGCACCCTGCAGGTGCCCTGCCTCTCTGAGAGGTGTTTCCTAGGCACATTCTTCACCAGCTTCAGGCAAAACTCACTCCCTGGGCCTGGCTGAGAGGGTTTTCTGGGGACCGGCAAGTGTACATACTATTTTTATTCAAAGCACCAAAATGAAGGTAGACCTGGTTAGGAAATGTTAAGTGAAAAAAGATATGCTAACTTTGCTCCCGAGTAACTCCAAGAAAAGAAGTTTTTCAGCCTTGCAGTGGTCTAGGAGGGTAGCCCTGAGTGGTTCATTCAGTAGCCTGCATTTAATATTTTTATGAAAAAATCAGCCACAAGACATTGGACAGTATGCTCACATCAGTGCGAGTGCAACCCTTGCTGTGCCGGGGCCTAGGGGCTCCTCGTGCTGGACTGAGGAGAACACAAAGCAGAGGATAGTGCAACACGAACGCCAAACACTAGTAGGCTCTGAAACAGTCTTTGGTTCCCACATCACTAAGGCAACCTGAACCTAACCCAGAACAACTGAGCCCTGGTGAGTAACTCCAGCCCTTGCTGGGGTGAGTATGAAAAACCAGAAACAGTTCTGGGTGCCTCCAGAAAGAGGTAAACATAATTCCTTACCAACAGAATTTTATAATATCCATTCCTCATTCCCCACGGTCACTGACAAGTTCCCATTTCCTCATCCTCAATTAAAATTTATATTTAGGATCAATTCAGTGTTCCTATTTTTCAGGTGGTAACTTAGCCTTTTTTAAATCCGAGCCAACACAGCCTAAAGCTAACAAGAGTAAAAGGGGTTGAGAGCTTGGAGAGAGGAAAAGCACTGAATTGGAGCCCGAGTTTCGTGCATCGGGCAGTGAAGGACAGCAAATGTCTGAGTGTGCTGTGTGTCCAAGACTTATGAGTGCACCTTCGGGGAAACTGCCAGTCAAATCCAGGATGATCAAAGAACAAAATAAATGTGTCCACCTCTCCTCATCTTTCTCCTTCTCCTCTTCATCCTCCTTCTCTCCCCCCATCTAAGATGCTGCAGTTCTTGCGGAAGAATAGGGCATACTTATTAGACCATTTTTATGTGTTTAGGATCTAGTACATTTACATGTGCGTGCCGGACAGAGTCTTAAAGCAGGGGGGTTATTTCCAGAAACATCTCCTGCCCCCATCCTCTGGCCTCCACTTTCTGTTCCCTTTTTCATTTTACTGGCATAAACCTATTCATCTTCACCCACATGCTTCCTGTTTTCTAGACCTTTCCCTGTGAAAAAAGAGGTAAATTTTATGTTCTTTGAATAAAACCTGCATAAAATACTCTCTTTGCCTCCGGCTGTAAAATTTTAAGCCAAGTTTACTGTGAAGGCGAGGTTATTGCCGATATTCTGAACTGAAGGCTACTGCTGAAGGCGAATCTTTGTGTGTGCTTCAAGGTAATGAGAGAAGGCATCCAGACAGAAGAGTTGCAGCCAGTCTTTCACCTCTGAGACTCCCCCGTGCAGAGTGTGGAGCCTGCGCAGAAAACCTTGCACAGAAAAGCACGTCTGTGAATAGCTGAGTCCTTCTTCACGTGTCCAGAATAAGAAATGATTTCCTTTTGTTCTTCACGTTAGCTTCATTCCTTATCCAGTCTAGGAAATCCAAAACCTTCCCGGTAGTAGCGATCTAAGTGTCAGTATTCTCTTCTTGTCCCATGTCCTCACCTACCTCCTGCCCACTCTCTTCCCCTCAAGCACAGTAATTATGATGTCAGAATCCAGGAACACAGCCCTATGGATTGAGTTCTATGAAAAAGGAAGAAAAGCGAGTGATGCTGGATTACTGATCCTCCTGGCAACGCAAGTTTCTTGCTCTGTTCTGGCTGCCACAGCCAAACCCCACAGACTGGGTGGCCTTAACACAGACATGTACTTTTTTTTGCATCTGGAGACTGGAAATCCCAGATCAAGATACCTGAAATGTTGGTTCCCAGAGAATTCTCTTTTCCTGCCTTACAGACATCTGCTTTCTCACTGTATCCTCTCGTGGCCTTTCCTCTGTGCCCTCACACAGGAAGAGAGGAAGAGAGCGAGAACTGGGTTAGGGCCCAGCCCACCTGACCTCATTTGACTCTAATTCCCTAAAAATCTTGTCTCCGAACATAGTCACATTAGGATTAGAGAGTCTATGTGAAGACTGCAAGTTTGATCTAAGCCTGGGCAACTCAGTGACTTAGTGAGACCTTGGATCAAAATAAAAACATGTTGAGGATGTGCCAAGGACCTGGGTTCAAAGGTTACATGGTAGTAGTAAGTACGTGGAATAATGCTCACATTAGCTCTTCGGGAATGCCAGTTAAAACCACTGAGATACCACTACACATCGATGAGACCACGAAGATAAAAGCAGAGATAAGTCCAAGTGCTGACAAGGGTGCAGAACAACTGACTGCACTGCTGGCGACAAGTGAAAAACATGCAGCTACTCTGGAAAGCAACCTCGTATTTCCTGTGAAGTGAAATACACAGAGCACAAGCCTGGCAGTTCCATCGATAGGTGTTGACCCAAGAGAAAAGTGCATGTCCACAAAGACTTTTCCATGCAGCTCTGTTTATAATGACTAAACATTAAGAAATCACTTGCATGAGCATCTCCACCTCAGCTCTGTTGTTTGTTACCTGATTTTGTTAAATGATGGCAATTTGTGATTAAAAAAAAAGAATAAACAGTAATGGCGAAAGTTAATGCTAAGAACTACAGACAGAGCAAGAGGAAATGAAGATAGAATTTCAAAGAAGTTGTATAACAGCATAGTGTCAGTCTGTACTTATCTTACCTCTTAGACATAATTCACTGGTTAAGCAGAACAAATGAAAATGCTTTAAGGAAATGGAAACAAGATAGGACTGCTCTGAACAAATGGCCTTCAGTAAGCTACTCTGGAGGATAACGTGGCAGTTTGTTTCAAACCTAAAAATGTTCTTACCACACATACCCAAAATGCAATCTTAAACATTTATCCCAGAAAAATAAAGTCATATTTTCACACAACAGGAATGTGAGTGTTCATAACAGCTTTATATAGATAACTCAAAATTGGAAAATACCCAAGTGGATTTAAACAAATGATTAAACACACTGTGGAATATCCATGCCATGGGGTACTGCTCAGCATAAAAGGAATGAACACTCTCTGAATGAATCTCAGGAACTGCTTTTGGGTGAAAACAGCCAATCCCCAAGGTGACTTACTGCATGATACAATTTATACATTCTGGCGGTGACAAACCTATGTAAGTAGAGAATAGATTAGCTATTACAAGGGCTTGAGGATGGAGAAAGGATGGGTGTGGCTATCAAAGGAGCCCTATGGTGACAGTGCAACTAAGTGTCCTGACCGTGGTAACGGTGTGATAACGCTGCACCCACTCTCTGAGCAACTCTTAGCACAGTCAAGTTGACACCTAAAACCATCTATCACACATACAGAAATGAATGCATATATAATGGTAAAATCTACATAAGTTACATGGATTGCCATAATGTTAATTTCTTGGTATAGATATAGTAGTACACTTAGTACATAAAATGTTTACATTGGGGGAGGCTGGGGAAGTGTGCACAGGACCTGCCTATGTATTTCTTTACAAAGTTTCCTGTGAATCTATAATTTTTTCAAAATTTTAAAAATACAGAAAAGAAAAATTTAGTCAAAGACTTTTTTGAATATTATCATAAATCATTTTAAGCATACCTTTAAGTATTCTACAGTCATAACTCTCTCAGATATACCTTTCTCTATTCATATTTTGTGCACACAGAATTCAAGGTGACACCTTGCTAAAGGAAGGACTTTCACAAACATTTTAATGAAGCTTACAAGACTGCTTACAAATACCTTCCATTGTCACAAATATTTTTCAGCTAACAAACGGTAGTCACAAGTGCAATGATAATGACATTGGATCTTACTTGAATTACTTTTTTTCTTACAAAAGAAATTGGTAGTTGGGAAGAAATGAGGCTAGAAATTAATAGCTGGCATTTCCAGTGGGAAGGCCTCTGTAAAGGTTGAAGTCACCATTTTAAATCTATTAAGCAGAATCTGTTTTTACTTCTTCTAAACTTAGTATGATAGAACTTTTGTGCTAGAGGAATTATGTATACCCATTTGTCCAGTTAGATTTAACATGATACTTTTAAACTGCCATAAAATACAGGAGAAGAGACTAATCTGACAGAACAGAAAGCTCCAACATAGACTCCTGCTATATGAGCATATGAAGATGATAAAGACAGAATTTCATCCTCAGAAATTTGCTGGTTTACTTAGAAAGTGATGTTGGGCCAAGTTCACCATTAAGAAACTAAAAGAAAACATGTACATGGCAGCTGTCCCTATTTATCTCACAGGCAAAGGGTCTATGACAACCTGTTCCATGCAGAAGAAACAGGTATGGACCACATAATGTGGCCAGGACCACATTAACATGAGGGCTCATCATTCTGGAAGCTTTAAGAGGAATCTGAATTTTTATATAAAGTCTCCCAATGTTTCAAATATTTTTGTAACACTGTGTGAACTAAGCTGTGTTAGATTCCTAGGGTTGTCATTACAAATGATCAACAACTTAGGTGGCTCAAGCAATAGCAATCTATTCTGTCACAGTCCGAGAGGAAGGAATCAAGGTACTGGCTGGTTTGATTCCTCCTGGAGGTTCCAAAAAAGAATCTGTTGCCTGCTTCTCTCTTAACTTTTGATGGTAAAATAAATCCCAAATATATCAAAATCTTTTATACAAAAAAGATTATAAAACTATTTAGATTTTAAAAAACACAAAAAGAAACACTTAGGTAAATGTTTGCCTACTCAAAGAGTAGAGAAAGACTTTATAAACAGACAGGCACTATTTATACAAAGAGTAAGATTGATAAATGTTGTAGATTTAACCATAAAATGTATTTCTCTACATTTAAAAATACTCTCTACATTAAAAATGAACAAAGTAAAATACAGACCAAGAATATTATAAAAAGTTAAAACAGATACAATTAGGTTGTCTTTTGACTGATTTGTACCCTTCAAAAAGACAGATTGGCATGGCACCATAACAGAAAATTGACAGCAGAGGAAAGAGAAACACCCTGGACATATGAAAACATGTTGCATCTCACCAGCTACCAATGTACTGCAAATATGAAAGCGGTAACAATCTTTTTTCTCCCAAACAAATAGATCAAGATTAAGGACAAACCAACAAATACTGATTCTTGGTGATGGCAAGAGGGTGGCCATCATTGTCATACATGGCTAGTGGCAAGGAAATTATACAGACTTTCCAGTGGATTTGCTAGCTGGTATCAAAAGTCCTGAAAATGTTCATCTCTGACGTGTTTACTGACCAAAGCAGTTAACCAGCAACTGTTTGCTTTTTGAGAGTGGATGGTATTTTAGACACTATTCAGAGACAGTCCTTGTCCCCAAAGTGATCTCATGGCAGGACAGATTATGTACATGATGCCATTTTGTATGTTACAGAAGCTTGTGCATACACACCACATTTATATAAAAATTGGAAATAATAGCCACAAAAAAATTTGTTCTCACCTCTCAATGATGTTATTGTAGAGGTATTTTCTTTTTAATCTGTATTTTCATAGACTACTTTTAAAATAAATAGAAGAGAATGAATTAATAGCTGAAAAAGGAGAAACTTTTCTACATCCTCTTTTTTTAACTTCAAAGGAAACAAAAGTGCTAATAGTTACTCCAAGTTTATCTCAAAATTTTAGTATCACTAAGAGTGATAGAATTATTGACCCATGAAGAGCACTCACTTTACGGACAGATCCTATTGACCAGTATTAGCTCATACACAGTCACTGCAGACAGACTGGGATCACCAGAAGCACATCCTGGGAACAGGTAAATCTCTCTTCTAAAGATGGAATTCAATTTTCAGTAATGACTTTGTGTTTTCACTGGGCCTACAAAAAACTGCTAGGTTCCCTGCAGTACTCAAAGCCCTTAATTTAGAGGCAGGTCTGTGACTGCTTTTCCACAAAAAGAGGGAATGTTACCTTGGCAGAAGATGTGGAAATAAAGACTGTTGATTTTTAGGAGAAGACAAATCAATGAAAGGAACAAAGGAAGAGGATATATATGTATGAAGAAAGGAAAAAGCTATCTCTGAAAAGTATCACATCCAAAAAGTATGTGGTGAGTGGGCTAGAGGACCATCTCTATAGCTTGCCCCCCTAAAATCAGTCTTAATGGATGCTCTAACAATGGTCAAAGGATAATGTAAACCTTTCTGTACTTTGATGAATAGACTGAAGAGAGAATAAAGACAAAGTAAAGAAACTGAAGCAGAACATTGTTTACATATAGTCAAATTCACAAAATATAGCAATAAAACTCTAGCGTATGTCAACTAAAATCAGATTATCTGTAGTGATGCAGACACTGATGTCACACAATGAAAAGTAACTGATTTATAATCATGGGTTAATATCTTACCAGTCAATGCTTTATTATTAGCTATTATTGAATCATTATTATTGTTATTATTGAATCAGAACTTCTCAGAAAAATAATGTCCAATTCCCCTTTAAGCAGGAAGTAAAATCTAGATATTAATATTATGAAACTTCCTAGATCTTTATTCTCCTTTTTATGGGGGGGGGGGTTCCAGTACCGGGAATCCAACTCACAACCTTGCGCTTGCCAGTGCCTGTGCCGC